TTTGTTGTTTAATTATAAAAATTAATAAAAATTTATTTAAAAAAAAAAAGAGACTGGACAACCATTTGTCTGAAATGGTATAGGGTTTCCTGCCTGAGCAGGGGGTTGGACTAGAAGACCTCCAAGGTCCCTTCCAACTTTATTATTATTATTATTATTATTATTATTATTATTATTATTATTATTATTATTATTATTAACAACAACAACAACAATAACAACAACACCCCGGACTTAACAATTGTCGATAAGAAAGACAAAAAAGTCTGGATAGTGGATGTGGCAGTGCCTGGAGACAGCAGAATAGACGAGAAAGAACTGGAGAAGATAACAAAATATAAAGACCTACAAATAGAAATAGAAAGACTGTGGCAAAAGCAAGCAAGGGTAGTACCAATAGTAATAGGCACCTTGGGTGCAATCCCAAAACAACTGGAGCACCACTTGAACACCATCATCGGCATTGACAGATTCGCCATTAATCAATTGCAAAAGGCGGCCTTACTAGGAACCGCTTCCATCCTGCGATGATATCTGTAATACCATCAAACATCCACATCTGCCTATCCCAGGTCCTGGGTAAGGACTCGATAGGTAGACAAAATGCCAAATCCAGTCTGAACATAATAATAATAATAATAGTGTCATAGTGAGTACCACTGGACACCAACCCACTACCAACTTCTTCCACTCGGTGGTACCTGGTCTCTGCATTCAGTGACCACAGTGAGAATAACGGAATAACAGAGTTGGAAGGGACCTTGAAGGTCTTCTAGTCCATCCCTCTACTCAGGCATCCTATAGCATTTCAGACAAATGATTGTCCAATCTCTTCTTAATAACCTCCAGGTTTGGAGCACACACAACTTCTGGAGGCAAGTCGTTCCGCTGATTAGTTGCTCTTACTGTCGGGAAGTTTCTCCTTAGTTCTAGCTTGGTTCTCTCCTGGATTAGATTCCATCTATTGTTTCTCCTTCTGCCTTCAGGTGCCAAGGAGAAGAAAGAGCTGGTGCTGACAGCGGTGTAGAAGAGGCCAAGGCAGAGCAGGTGAATGGCTGTGTTGGTTCTATGTCTTAGAATTTGACTCTGACACTGGGTGGCTTGCAGAGTGCTGCTGTGTCCTGCTTCCCACATTCCCAAGGGGGAAGACAACAAGAGAAGCTGGTCCCACCTGGCATTAGCATCTCAACCCAATGCTCAACACCCCAAATACATGCTTGCAATGCCCACTTGGAAGCAATCTGAAAAACAACACCAGCTTCCACTTCATTGGCCAGCGGTCACAGACGAGGCCACTAAGAGACCCTCCTGGGTTCCCCTTACTAACCTTTCTGCCGGATGGAGCACCAGACCATGACGATGAGTACGCAGATGACGAGAAAGACGAGGAGAGCCAGGATGCCCCCCACAATGGCATATGGCACTGAAGTCTGGGCCTCAACAATAGCCCCAGGATCTGCAAAGGAGAAGGAAGGTGCTGAAGGCAGGAACCGGAGGTGGAAATGACTCTTGCAAGAATTGCCCTGCTTTGCAGAAAAAAAGGGGGGGGGGGTCTCCTCCGTTTTTCCAATCTCTGGCCACCCTCTTGGCAGCGGCAAACCAATGGCCCAAGTCAGCAGCCAGTTCCGCCTCAGGCCTCAGCAGAAAACTGTTCCCCTTGACCTGGAAGGATGCGCTTACAGTTGGTTCTCAAAACAGCTGACTGACCCAGAGTGAAAAAGGGTCAGCTCCATCTGGGGGCCCCCCTCATGGGCTAGTTTTATGTCAGTGGTTCTCAACCTTTTTAATGCCACGACCCCCAACCGGTCATAAGTCGAGGACTAAACCGGTCGTACGTCGAGGACTAAACCGGTCGTAAGTCGAGGACTAAACCGGTCGTAAGTCGAGGACTACCCAACCGGTCGTAAGTCGAGGACTTTCCCTGCCCGGGAGCGCCATGCATGCGTGGTTCCGCCCCCTGCGCCAGCCGAGGCGTAGCTGGCAAGCGGCAGAGACGGAGCAGGCCAACCACCAGCTGGCCCAGCCCAAGGGAGGTAAGGCACCCGCCAGAAAAGGGGGAAAAAATGGCGAACAAAAAAATGGTGGACAGCCTTGCTTGGCGACCCCCGTGAAATGGTCGATCGACCCCAAATGGGGCCGCGACCCATAGGTTGAGAACCGCTGTTTTATGTGAAAGGCAATGGGCAGGGGGTGAGGGGTGTCTGTAAACAGGCGCTTCTTCTCCACTCAGCCACTGTCCAAAGTGAAATATTGGGACCAGATTTTTCCGTTGTTAAGCAAGGTAGGTCGTGAAGCGACTCGTGTCTGATTTTGTATGACCGTTTTTGCCAAGTTTGTTAAGTGAAACCCTGAGGTCGTTAAATGAATCACTGCGGTTGTTAAGCAAATCCAGTTTCCCTGATCGGAAGCAGGCCGGGAAGGTCACAAAGGGAGATCACAGGACCCTGGGATGCTGCAGGTGTCGTAAACACAGGCCAGTTGCCTCGTGTCCAGATTCTGAGGATGTGATTGCGGGGCTGCTGAGACAGTTGTTAATGCGAGTCAGTTTTTTTCAGTACCGTCGTAAGTCGCATAAGAATGCATTCCTGCTCTGGGGAATGGTTGGAACGGGACAACTCGCCCAAGGACAATTCAACAACTGAATTGAATGATTTAAAATAATTTTACAAAAACATTTTAAGTTTTGTCCTTCACCTTTCCTCCCGTCCCACTTTTGGCGTCCTTTCTTTAATGATTCTATTCCACTATTTTTGCGATATCGGCGTAACTCATGTTCCGTGGCAAATTGTCCCATGCCGAATTGGCAGGGGCGAGTTGTCCGAGACCCAGGGGTGGGGAACCTTGGCTCTTTTATGACTCATGGACTTCAACTCCCAGAATTCCTGAGCCAGCCGTGCTGAGGGGAAAGGGAGAGGTTTCCATGCTGAGCCATGCTGGCTCAGGAATTCTGGGAGTTGAAGTCCACGAGTCATAAAAGAGCCGAAGTTCCCCACCCCTGTCCTAGGCCAGTGGTTCTCAACCTTTTTAATGCCGCGACCCCAACCGGTCGTAGGTTGAGGACTAAACTGGTCGTACATCGAGGACTAAACCGGTTGTAAGTCGAGGACTAAACCGGTCGTAAGTCGAGGACTAAACCGGTCATAAGTCGAGGACTTTCCCTGCCTGGGAGCGCCGCGCATGCGTGGTTCCGCCCCCTGCGCCGGCCGAGGCGTAGCTGGCAAGCGGCAGAGACAGAGCAGGCTGACCACCAGCTGGCCCAGCTCAAGGGAGGTAAGGCACCCGCCAGAAAAGGGGGAAAAAATGGCAGACAAAAAAAATGGCGGACAAAAAAAATGGCAGACAGCCTTGCTTGGTGACCCCCATGAAATGGTCGATTGACCCCAAATGGGGTCCCGACCCACAGGCTGAGAACCACTGTCCTAGGCCCAAGTGCGAGAACTGGGTCTGGGACCACGAAGACCAAATGGAACAAGTGCCGGAAGATCTGGAACATGGGGTTCTGGGTTGAGGAGGCTGCGAAGATTTTGCTTACTCACCATAAACCACCAGCACGTACTGGTCCGAGGACCGTCCATGTTTATTGGCCACGTGGCACGAGTAGGTGCCGTTATCCAGCATGCTGAGGCTGGGGATGGTCAGCACTTCACCCTCTATCAGGGCCCGCTCCGGCAACGTGTCGTTCGCTCGGCTCCATTTAATGTCTCTGGGCCTGAAAGGGGCACCCCAAAAATCTATTAGCCCCTGCCTCACCGTCCCCCCAGCCCCTTCTGGCCACCAGCGTAGCATCCTTGCCGCCTCCACACACCTCCCTTTTGAAACAGCAGCTCTTTCTCTTCAAGGTTATTTGCTGCCAGACCAGGTGATGGATGGACACGTGAGGCAGCGGTTGGATCAAGGGGCACTCTGAGTAATAACTCTGCTCAGGAATTGTACCCATCAGTCAGGCGGGTCAGGGAGAGCGGCAAGGACAGCTTGTTCACAAAAGGGTGGAAAAAAATGAGGATTTGGGCCTCAGGACCCTAATGGGACAGGCAGGCATTTAGGCGAAATTGCTGGCTTTATTATATGGATGGTAACTATGCCCAGGAGAGGAATCTTTTTTTTTTAAAAAAAAAAAAGTTTATTAAAAAAATATATAAAAAACATCAAAATATTGAAAAAAAGAAAAAAAAAAGGGGGGGGGGAAACCCACAACAAACAAGACATTTAAAAAGTGTCCTTAAAAAAAAAGGTTAACACATATACCCACAGCATCCTTCCTAATTGAATGTTGATTAATACAATGCAACAATGTTAATCTCTCCCACCCATTATGAAACAGGCCAAAAGAATTTTATATCAATGACATAATAGTTCACAGGAAAGACAATACTGATACGAATAATATATAAGGATATAAAAATAATAAAGATGATCCGTAATAATGAAAAAAAAAGACAAGATTAAAATCACCAAAACCCCTGTTAACAAACTGTTATGCTCATCGACTTGTGAAAAATTTACTGTAGCTTCAATCCAAAATCATCCTAAAAAAAATTTAAGCCAAATTGATCCCGGATCAAATATCCATGTCCAGCAATTATCTATTGCCGATTGGTTAAATGCAATAAAGCCAATCTGCCCAGGATAGAAATTCTTTCTCCACTTGTGCCTGTTGGCATTAGCAGCAAAATACAGACCAGAATTGTTGACACACAGGGCAGGGAACAAGCCAGGGTCTGTTTCATGTCCTCCCTTTGCCTATTCTTTTTTTTTTATTTATCAAATTGCATCTCCTTCACCAAGGTTATAGAAAACATGCCAAACCCAATCGTCGGAGGAGAAAAGTGACTCAGAGGTGCACCTGCCACCAACAGCTATCGCCCATGTCTCATTTTTCACACCTGCACGCACTGTCTCTGAAACAGCTGATGCTCCAAGACAGAGAGAAGTCAAAATTGACTTCAACATCGCCTGGAAAAGATTGGGATCTTTTGCGCTAGATCGAAAAGGTTCTCTGCTGGTTTACAGGGGCAAACAAAAAATATTGCACCCCGTCACTTAAATTTGACCAATCGAAGGGTAGAAATTAAGATTTGCACAGTGGGAGTGGCAGGACTCCGTGAGTCTTGAAGTTGACCACCATATATCTGTAATGGCAGTTTCTCAATCTTGACCACTTGGAGAGGACTTCAACTCCCAGAATTCCCCAGCCAGCTGTGGTCAAGGCTGAGAAACACTGTGTTTTGGCATTCCACTCCAGCAACTTTGAGCGCAATCCATAGTTGGACCGTCTCCTCTCCACCCGCCATTTTGCATTTGGTTCTATGCTCAACCCCAAAAATCTTATTTTAGAGATGGAAGCAGTTAATGGACCTTGAAATCTTAAGTTTTTTTTAAAAAGGGCAGAGCCTTCAAATTTAAAATCTGCCCAACTCTATTCTAGGGCATCCTATATCCTGGGCTACAGGTAGGGCGAGACATTTATTTATTAGATTTTTATCCTGCCTTTATTATTTTTATAAATAACTTGAGGCAGCAAACATACCTAATAACTCTTCCTCCTCCTATTTTCCCCACAATAACCCTGTGAGGTGGGTTGGACTGAGAGAGTGACGCTCAAAGTCATCCAGCCGGCTTTCATGCCTAAAGCGGGACTGGAACTCACGATCTCCTGGTGATTGGTCCAAAGTCACCCAGCCAGCTTTCATGCCTAAGGTGGGACTAGAATTCCCTGTCTCCTGGTGATTGGCCCAAAGTCACCCAGTTGGCTTTCATGCTTAAGGTGGGACTAGAATTCACTGTCTCCTGGTGATTGGCCCAAAGTCACCCAGCCGGCTTTCATGCCTAAGGTGGGACTAGAATTCACTGTCTCCTGGTGACTGGCCCAAAGTCACCGAGCCGGCTTTCATGCCTAAGGCAGAACTAGAACTCCCACACTTCCCAGCATGCTGTTTGGGGAATTCTGGGAACTGAAGTCCACACAGCTTAAAGTTGCTAAGGTCAAGAAACACTGCTCCAGAATCCCACATCCATGGCCGTTGGCCATGCTGGCTAGCAATCAGAAATCTACAAGTTATCTCCGAGGTTCCCAGGCTGGCTGATCAAAAACTGCTTCCCCCATCAAAAGGGTCTTTTGTGAAAAGTTGGGTTTCTGATATATTGTTTTAGTTCAAATGCAGATAGAGGCAGATCTGGTCTAATAATCAATACCCTTGGTTGATGAAGCCCAAAATATTCCAATATCTCACTTGGCAGCTCTCTCATTTGTTAGGGGTGGCCAATTTCAGCTTTTCTCAGCACCGGATTTGGGGGTTTAATAAATGTCAGTAAAAAACGCTCTTTTTCTTTTCTTTTCTTTTTTTAAAGAGCAGGGTGACCAGCTGCCACATCCATGAACTTCCTTTTCCCAAAACGGGATCTCAAAGCTGCCTTGTTTTCTGCACCAGGTTCTTTCCTGTTGCCACCAAAATAAGCCCAAAATTTGCTTTTTCCCATCTGGAAGAAGGGCTATCTAAAAAAATGAAATTCAATGGTGAAAAAAGTAAGGTTCTACATTTAGGCAAGAAAAACCAAATGTAGAGGTATAGTATAGTAGTAACTGTGAGAGGGATCTCGGAGTCCTAGTGGACAATCCCTTAAATAGGAGCCAGCCGTGTGCTGCCAAAAAAGCCAACACGGTGCTGGGCTGCATTAACAGAGGGATAGAATCAAGATCACGTGAAGTGTTAATACCACTTTACAATGCCTTGGTAAGGCCACACTTGGAATACTGCATCCAGTTTTGGTCACCACAATGTAAAAAAGATGTTGAGACTCTAGAAAGACTACAGAGAAGAGCAACAAAGATGATTAGGGGACTGGAGGCTAAAACATATAAGGAACGGTTGCTGGAATTGGGTATGTTTAGTTTAATGAAGAGAAGGACGAGGGGGGACATGATAGCAGTGTTCTATTATCTCAGGGGCTGCCACAAAGAAGAGGGAGTCAAGCTCTTCTCCAAGGCGCCTGAAGGCAGGACAAGAAGCAACGGATGGAAACTGATCAAGGAGAGAAGCAACCTAGAACTAAGGAGAAACTTCCTGACAGTGAGAACAATTAACCAGTGGAACAACCTGCCTCCAGAAGCGGTGAAAGCTCCAACACTGGAAGTTTTTAAGAAGAGACTGGATAGCCTTTGTCTGAAATGGTGTAGGGTTTCCTGCCTGAGCAGGGGGTTGGACTAGATGACCTCCAAGGTCCTTTCCAACTTTATTATTATTATTATTATTATTATTATTATTACTATTATTATTACTTACAGTGGGTTGCCGTTAACAGCGCAAGTCAAAACTAAGGTGTCTCCTTCCCTCATGACTCCTTGAGGGGGGTGGATTCTCGCTGTGGGTGAATCTAGAAAAAGAGAAGAAAAAAGAACAGTAATAATAATAATACCCTAATAATAATCTGTATATAATAAAAAAAAACAATACCAAATTTGTAGGCCACCTGACTCTCAAAGACCCTGACAATTCCTTTGCTTCGCTTAAAAAGACGCAAACTCTTCAAGAACAAGAAGAGGCAAACTATAGCAGCCATTGTTCCTTCAGGTGTAGGAATGCCGCAAGCCTGATCTGACGCCAACGCAAGTTTAGAATTATTTGCAGGTGGTCCTCGAGTTACCGCTCTAATGGAACAACATGCCCATCATGGTTAGGAGTCGTAAGAGTCATAAAATGGATCGGTCACATCACCAATCCAATTTTACAATCTTCTACTGCAGGGCTTTTCAACCAGTGGTACGGGTACCACCTGTGGTACATTGGCACCTGGCAGGTGGTACGTGACCATCCTAGAAAAGTGGTAGTGGGGGGAAGGGAATGAGCTGAACCGGTGGCAGCACCGTACAAGCCTGAGCAAGAGATGGCTGGAGCTGCAGGGCTGTCAGGGCTCAGCGGAAGCGCCAGGATCAGTGCCGCTTTCCAGCTGATCGGCGCTTCAGGGCTGTCAGGGCTCAGTGGAAACGCCAGGATCAGCGCCAGGCTCCAGCTGGAGCTCGGCACTGATCCTGGTGCTTCTGCTGAGCCCTGAAGAAGCACCAATCAGCTGGAAAGCAGCACTGATCCTGGCGCTTCTGCTGAGCCCAGAAAAAATGCCGATCAGCTGGAATGTTGCAGCATCTCCAGGGTCTTGGGATTTACATTCAGATGCTTGGCAACTGATTCATATTTATGACCGTCACAGTGTCCCAGGGTCATGTGAAGTGACCAAAACCTGCTGCAACCACCCAGCAGACGGGGGGAATAAAAACCAAACACCCCCCCACCCCACCCCCGCTGCCAATCCTCAACAGAAATGCTCACAACAATGAAAACCTCGGACAGGAGGAAGAGCGCGGCCGGGTGGGCAGGCAGGTGTCTTGCTCAGCTGTGGCTTGGGGGGCACTTTTTTCAGTGCCACTGTAACTTCGAACAGTCACTAAGCGAACTGTTGTAAGTTGAGAACTACCTGTACTTTATCACTTTTTTTCCTTTTTTGGGGGGGGTCATCAGGTTTTTGACCCCTTGCTAGGCGACTGGTGGTACTCGGATGTTGCCGTATCCTAAAAGTGGTACAATGGGTGAAAAGGTTGAAAAGACCTGTTCTAGTGTATGTGGTGCCTGTTAAGTTAATGTGGTGGCGGTAAGGTGAATATGGCGGTCACTAAGCAAATGTCATGATTGGTAAGCGAATCTATTGTAAGTGCCGGTTTGACGACAAACTGTGGTAAACTATGGTCACGTGACCATGGGATGCTGCAAAACAGCCATATTGTTGAGCACCTGAGGTAACATGACTGGGGGGGGCACTGTTGGAACTTCCGATTGGGGTCATAAGTCCCCTCTTTGAGTCTGTTGCAACGCCGAACTGTCACTAAGTTGTAAGGCGAGGACTCCCTGCCTTCGCCTGGGTCGCCTTCCTTTAACAAGGATTGTCAGATTTAAAGACAGCGGCAGATGTTGGCTCCCCTCAAAAGCGTTCAGGTTGGCCCAAAGTGTTTCTGACAGCTCACTGAAGGAGTCTCTTTGTAGCCATTGTAGGAGGGAACTACACGGATGCCCAAAAATAAAAAGTAAAAAAAAAATCAAGAGTCTGATCGTCCCTTTTCCGACATACCGACTGGAATCAAAGGCAGAAGCTTCAGGGAGCTGCAGCTTTTATGAGCTTTTGAATCCAGTGTGTGAGTCGGAAAAGGTGCTCCTGGTTTCCTTCTGATCTCGGGAAGGAATCCTGACATCCCTTTCTGTCACAGCCTCTCAGGGTTTTGACGAGTTGCTCTCCTTGTTCCTTTAATCTCTCTTCACAAGTTTTACTTTCTGCTCCCCTGACCATCTTCTCATACTTGTCTGAACTAGTTCCAGATTGCCTTTCCCTCCCCCCCCCTTTTATTTTCTTTTTTGGACTCATATCACATGGCTCTCTCAGATGATAGCAGTGTTCCAATATCTCAGGGGCTGCCCCAAAGAAGAGGGAGTCAAGCTATTTTCCAAAGCGCCTGAAGGCAGGACAAGAAGCAACGGATGGAAACTAACCAAGGAGAGAAGCAACCTAGAACTAAGGAGAAATTGCCTGACAGTGAGAACAATTAACCAGTGGAACAACCTGCCTCCAGAAGTGGTGACTGCTCCAACACTGTAAGTTTTTAAGAAGAGACTGGAGAGCCATTTGTCTGAAATGGTGTAGAGTTTCCTGCCTGAGCAGGGGGTTGGACTAGATGACCTCCAAGGTCCCTTCCAACTTTACTACTACTACTACTCCTACTCTTCTTCTTCTTCTTCTTCTTCTTCTTCTTCTTCTTCTTCTTCTTCTTCTTCTTCTTATTATTATTATTATTATTATTATTATTATTATTATTATTATTATTATTATTATTACTATTATTATTATTATTATTATGTCTCTAAGACGCTCCCCCTGCAAGTTCTTCTCCACAAAAGATGCAGAGCCAAGCCAGAAATTGCCCACTCTCTAGCTGAAGCAATTGATCCGTTTCCTAAAATATTAACTTTGCATTTGACTACTCCAGCCTCGCAGTTACTTTCCGCCCCTTCCCAGCGGATCAAGATCGTTGCAAATTTTATTTGTGTCTCCTAGAATATTAGCTAACCCGCCCAGCCAGGGGTCATCCACAACTGATTAGCATTCCCTCTCCTTTCTCATCAAACTCATTAAAATGCTGGAGAGCCAGAGCTGAACCGGGGAGCCAGCCTCACTCCCCTCTGGTGAAAAACCTTCTCCGCACTCTTTGACCTGAGATTTTCAGGCTAGCTATCTGTCTACTTCATGTCACACCACCCAGCCTACTCTTAACTACTTTGCTAATCAGACTGTGGTAGAGTGTACTTGTTCAAATGCTGCTTCTGGTTTTCTCAGCGGCATCTGGTTGATCGATGGGAAAACAGGATATTGGACTAGATGAGTTTTTAATCTGATCTAGGAGAGCTGCTCTCGCTGTTTGTTCTCCAGTTTAAAGTGCTGGAGTATTCTGCTACTAGTGATGTCTGTCTGTCTGTCTGTCTGTCTATCTATCTATATCTATATGTATATCTATATGTATTTCTATATGTATATCTATATGTATATCTATATATCTATATCTCAGTCTATCTATCTATCTATCTATCTATCTATCTATCTATCTATCTATCTATCTATCTATCTATCTATCTATCTATCTATCTATCTATAGCTATCTATATCTATATCTATATCTATATCTACTGTATGTCTGTCTGTCAATCTATATCTATATGTCTGTCAGTCATTCTGTCTATCTATCTATCTATCTATCTATCTGTCTGTCTGTCTGTCTGTCTGTCTGTCTGTCTGTCTGTCTGTCTGTCTGTCTGTCTGTCTGTCTGTCTGTCTATCTATATCTATATCTATATATCTATATCTATGTCGGTCTGTCAATCTATATGTATATGTCTATCTATATGTATATGTCTATATCTATATCTATATCTATATCTATCTATCTATCTATCTATCTATCTATCTATCTATCTATCTATCTATCTATCTATCTATCTATCTATATCTATGTAGGTCTGTCAATCTATATCTATATGTCTGTCAGTCATTCTGTCTATCTATCTATCTATATCTATATCTATATCTATGTCGGTCTGTCAGTCTGTATGTATATGTATATGTATATCTATATGTATATATCTATATCTATATCTATCTATATCTTTCCTACTATGTATATATCTATATCTATGTCTGTCTGTCTGTCTGTCTGTCTGTCTGTCTATCTATCTATCTATCTATCTATCAATCAAATGCAACAGGGCTCCATTTCTTGATCTCGCTAACCTGAACCTGGCTTACAAAATCTTTCCACCTCTCCTACTCCCTCCCTTCCTAGGGAGTTCCAGCGGTCACTTACACTGCACATCTAGCACGTATTGCGTCTGCTTCCGCTGACCACGCAATGCTGGGTGGATGGCTTCGCACGTCACAATGCTGCTGTGGTCCTTGCGATCCACCCAAAAACGCACCATGCTGGTGATGCTGAATACTTTCCCATGTTCTTGCTTGCTGCTTGTTCCTGAAACACACACAAACAGCACACCAGCCCCGTCAAGTAACCCCAGCAAGCACGTACAGCTCCCCTTTAGATCAGGGGTGTTCAATTTTGGCAACTTTTAAGATCTGTGGGCTTCAACTCCCAGATATGTATTATATGGATCATCTCAACAACTGACTCTGGGCAGACTCAAAATGAAAACAATTTAAAACATTACAAAAGTTAAAATATGCAATGGCCAAGCAGCATCAACCCACTAGCCTAACTAAAAAGGTGGTCCCTGCACAATGTCAAAGCCCAAGGCCTGGGCAAAGAACCTGTTTCTTTATTGGAGAAACAATTGTTGAATCCATCCCAAATTGTAAGATGGGAAAAGATGAGGAGAAGGAGGGAGGAAGGAAAGGGGAGGAGGAGGAGGAGGAGGAGGAGGAGGAGGAGGAGGAGGAGGAGGAGGGAAAGAATGGTTGGAAACTAATCAAGGAGAGAAGCAACCTAGAACTAAGGAGAAATTTCCTGATAGTTAGAACAATTAACCAGGTGGAACAACCTTCCTCCAGGAACTGTGAATGCCCAACACTGGAAGTTGTTAAGAAGAGACTGGACAGCCATTTGTCCAAAATGGTATAGGGTTTCCTGCCTGAACAGAGAGTTGGACTAGACGACCTCCAAGGTCCCTTCCAACTTTATTATTATTATTATATTATGATGAAGAAGAAAGAAGAAAGAAGATAGAAGGAGGAGGAGGAAGAAGAAGGAGGAGGAGGAGGAGGAGGAAGAAGAAGAAGAAGAAGAAGAAGAAGAAGAAGAAGAAGAAGAAGAAGAAGAAGAAGAAGAAGAAGGAGAAGGAGAAGGAGAAGGAGAAGGAGAAGGAGAAGGAGAAGGAGAAGGAGAAGGAGAAGGAGAAGGAGAAGGAGAAGGAGAAGGAGAAGGAGAAGGAGAAGGAGAAGTTGTTTCACTTCTCATTCAAGAAGTTTCATCCAGGATGAAGCTTCTTGGATAAGTGAAATTTCTTCTTCTTCTTTCTCAAAAAACAGTTCAGTTACCTTTTTTTTTTTTTTTTAAAAAGCACTTTTGAGACAACTATGACCTGGATGACTGAGAATATCCATAGAGATGTACGGTGGGAAGTATCCTCCCTCATCACCCAAGCCATCTGGAAGACGTCAAGTGAAAAAAATAAGATATTCCTTCACTTGGAATTCCAAGTTGACTTTGGCCCAAACGCCAGCAGACGAAGAAGTGCCTGGATCCTGCTTCCCAGGAAGTGTATTTGTTTTATTTGTTAGGTGGTTTCTACAGGGGCCCATTTGGAATGGTACCTTTTATCTCTTTCCGGTCCCGGTACCAGCGCAGGGTGGCCGCAGGGCGTGACCTGGGAATGCTGCAGGTGAGTTCAACTTCTCCTCCTTCTACTGCCTGTTCCTTCACCTCCACTAAAGGACTGTCTGGGGGAACTGGAAGAAGAAAAAGCAGGCAAATTATTGGTCATTGCCTCCTTCACCTCACATCCCCATGGTCGAATCCTTCACCTGAGTACCTACACTGCCTCCAATGCAGCAACTTTCTTAATTAATACTTCAACGGCTAGAGATAGTGGGCGGAGATGTCTTCACCCAAGCTTCTCAATTCTGAGACGGTCATTTTACAAAGGAAAACAAGGACTTAGCCTTCTGCCATGGAGCTAAGAAGAAAAGCAAAGAGAGAACCTAGAGGTAGGCATGAATTTCTGAAGATAACAAGGGTTTACTAAATCCCTTGACCTCTATTTGTTCCTTCCAACATTCGTACTTGCAAAATCCGATTTTTTTTTTAAACAGGAGGTATAGGTTTGTTTAATCTGCATCAACGCTTCCACTGATGTCCTGCTAAGGAAGAATCCAAATCTTCTCTCCCTCTCTCTCTCTCTCTTTGAAGATTATCTGTTCCCTTACCGCCAAAGGCTGACCTTGAGAAATGATCACGTCTTCTAATAGTCTTTAGTCTGGCAAGTTAGGTAGATTCCTGAAAGTGTGACTTTCAGAAAAGGCTACAGCTCAGCGTCAAAGCACATGTTCGGCACGCTAAAGATCTTAGGTTGAGTCTCTGAGCATTCCTGAGGGGGATAAAGCAGACGGCTCTGAAATTCTGGACATCCATTGAAGCCTGTCTAGACAGTCGTGTGCTTGAATGTTCTTTGCGCCAGCAGTTTTCAAGACATATCTGATTTTTCCCTTCGGGTCGGCTGCAGTCTGAATTAGAGGAGGTGAACTTTAGAGGGATGACCCAAAGGTGCTTTTTCAGGACTTTCTTGTTTTCCTTTGAAGATGCTTCGCTTCTCATCCAAGAAGCTTCTTCAGCTCTAGGTGGATGGCGGGGAAGGGAAGGGTTTATGTTCCTTGCAGACAAACTGGTCATTTGCATCCTTTTGGAGAGTCGTTGGGGCCACTTGGAGGTGTATGTGTGTCTGCTGGTTTGAAAGAGGGGTCAAAGAGGCCATCTAGGTCAAAATTGAACAGTCCTCTCTCAACAGAGGGGGAGGGATACGACATCATCTATCTCCAGTCTACAGCACGGTCCTTTCAGCAGTTCCATCTGAATTAGTCAGGTGACCTTGAGGACACAGATGAACCTCCAAGTGGCCTCAACGACTCTCTTAAAAGAAGGCAAATGACCAGCTGTCTGCGAGGAATATAAATCCTTCCATTCCCCACCATCCAGTCAGAGCTGAAGAAGCTTCTTGGATGAAGAAGTGAAACGTCTTCAAAGACAAACAAGGAAGTTGCTTCCTGAAAAAGCACCTTTGGGACAACCATGACCTGGATGACTAGGAATCTCTATAGACATTTAGAGCAGGAGGTCCTCAAACTTGGCCACTTTAAAACTTGTGGACTTCAACTCCCAGAATTCCCCAGCCAGCATGGCTGGCTGGGGAATTCTGGGAGTTGAAGTCCATAGGTCTTAAAAGTTGCCATTGTTGAACACCCCTGAGCTAAACAGTGGGGTACAGCACCCTCTTCTGATCTTATCACTCTAGTCTACTCTCTCTGTCTGGATCATAATAAACAGTATCCTATCCTTCCAAGCCACCTTTTCATTCTCCCATACTTTAAGGAAGTCCCTGGACAAATGAAGGCCGCCTCCTGCTCTTTCCCACATCTCCAAAGCAAGGTGAGACATACCCAGCACTGTGAGGATGGCGATCTGATGGTGGGTGTCTTCTGTGTACAGCTGGCAATAATATCCACCTTCATCTTCCAGACGGGCATTGGACAGCACAATGCGGACCTGTTTTTGGGTGAACTCCACCAACTGGAAACGCTCATCCTTCAAGGCTGTAAGGAGCAGAAGGGAAATGCCTCAGTTGTGGGCCAATAAAATAAACAAGGATCATCTTCTCCCAGGTCACAACAAGCCACAGTCAACTGTTCTGAACACTCCTGGTCTCCTGCCCTGGACAAACGCTGTAGGTCAACACAAAGGGACAACAAGAAAGTAGACGACCCACCTTCCAGGTGCTGAGCTCTTGGTGGCTCAGTGATCCCATCCCCAGCCCACAATTCGACACCTTGAAGACTAGAAACAAGGTTACCTCGTGTGCCGTTGAAGAAGAGCGTCTGCCGAGATGGATTCTGGATCACCACGATGGAGCCATCATATTGGTGTAGCTTGCAATTGATCTCAGCTTGCCCGCCTTCTGCTACTGTCACATTCTCGGCTTGGACCTCCTGAGTTCTAGCTAGAGTGGAGAAAGAGAGAGAAAAGGGTTACCAGCCCTAATTCCTAAGGAAAGAACATCTGGCCAACATCAAGGAAGAAGGCCTTAATGGGTGGACCTGTCCCTAGCAGAAACACCTTCTTGCAAAGGTAATTGTCATGTGTCTGATTAACGAAACACTTAAAAGGACTTTCAGGCATATTTTCTCCTAAAAGCATTTATTAAGGTTACAGAGACGTCAGTACAGCATGGTGGAAATGCTTAGGTCTGGCTTCTCTTCC